TGGAGATGAAATTCCTAACTGTGACCTCACTAGCTCCACATTTATATTTGTAAAACCTTAAATGGGAATATTGCCTATCTTTTAGCCTTCCTCGCTTCTATTCCCACTGGACTTATTGTGGACCTCATTGAACTTTCTACTCTTGCCTTTAACTTTTTTTCCTGTCTGAGAGCTTTCTCCTGTACTCAATTCCTTGACTTCTTTCCTTTTTCTAATCCATTTCCTTGCTGAAATCAGTGATTTATCTGAACTATCTACCATGTTGCCACTTTGGCAAGTACTCAGGATCATCATTTCACATTGGCTCTTAGCACAAAACATTAAAACCCGATGAAGAGTGCTGATAATTAAACTGGCTTGTCTTGTGAGGAAAAGAGAAAAAACAGTGAATTGTTTGTTACTTTGTAGCCCTTCTGGGCTAAATGCCAATGTTTGCCTTTGAGTATTGTGCAGTTGGCTATGTCAAGGAGAGACTGTTGATAAAGCATCTAATGTGATGCCAAGAAGCTAGCAGTACTGCTCATTATGCTGTAATTGATGATGAGGCCCAATGGTTGAGCAATCTGTTGGCTTAATATTCTTTAACCATTGTATAGGTTAACTGAGAAAGCTCTAATTCAGTTAGGAGAGTTTTGTTACATATTAGCTGTGTCTTAGTGGGCATATACTTTCCACTTTGGGGGCTTCAGATTTCTCATCCGTAATAAGAAAATTAAACAGTATATCTTCTATTTTCCTTTTATACTGAATAATGCATAATTTCTTTGCATCATTTGGGGACTGGCATGTGGAGAAAACAAAATCTTCATCATAAATAAGTGATCCCCCTAGAGCAATCTGTCTTTAGTATAACCAGAATGGAGGGATAATGAACATCAGTGTAATTAAGTGGACAGCATAAAAATCAAATTGACAAAGGTGACCATTTTAGCACACTAGTCTCAATAATGCCAGATAAGTAAGACCTTCAACCTTCATCTTTGTCAGTTTGATTTTGGGCATCTTTGTGTCCTAAAATGATGAAAGGTCCTGGTTCTCTTTATTAAAATGAATTAAAGTTTTATTTTATAAACATATGCATTGAGACAGTTCAGTATACCCCAGGATGTTGTAAAGTTCATTTTGGGGGAATCAGTGTAACATACGGTTATCTTAAAGATTGTTTCTTTGGAAGATGTACTGTACACACTACTATATTTCATTTATTACATGATAAGGCTTTCTTAATGTCACCACCAAAGACTGTTTCAGTATCTCTGTGCACTCCAGATTATAAATAATTTATACTGTGTGTATTAATAGTATATTTCTCATAATATATTAAGCAGAGATACATAAAATTGCTGCTTAAAGTTTTTGATCAGCATGTGATATCCAACAAACCATGAGTTAAGCTAAAAGGAAATAACATATGGTGTTTGAATTACTTTTATTTTAGGTAAATGTTGAATTTCTGTTATGATGTCTTGGAAACTTCAGACTATAATTTGGGACTTAAATTATATTACAAAATAACCAACCAAATAATAATAATAATTATTATCATTATTGTTAATATTTACTGGGCAGTTATTATAGGCCAAGAGTACATATATTTTAAGCATTGTATAGATTTAATCCCCTTTTATCCTGAGCCACAGAGACATTAAATTATTTACCTAGGGTCACACAACTAGTAGAATTTGAACTAGGGGAGATTTCAATAAATGGGAATGGATACTGTTCTCAGTCCAGCAGTCAGTAATGAAAGTGCTTTAATAAATGATTCTTTAAGGAGATTGCAAACTCTACAAGGAGAGGTTGATATTTTTAACAGCTGAATCTGAAATTATTGAAACATAGGAATACAGTAGAACTGTGGTACAGAGAATGCTTGGCATGCTAAAGATATAGCTTTGTGCATTTTAGTTGAATGTTCTGCAAGACTGGAGGCTGGGCAAACCAATTACTTACTGATCAGAGCACTGAATTCTAGCCATCTAACAGCATGCCCGGATTCGAGTGTGGTAGGTGGAATGGAAAGTCTATCACCATTTTATGATAGGAAACAAGGGCGAAGGAGAAGGGAAAGCACTAGCTCCACCAAACAGATGCCCATATACAAAAAGACGAAATGAAGAAAAAACTTCATTTTTAGTTAATAATCAATGACCTAGAGTTTCAGGGTCTTTGAACCTCTGTGAATTAGGAATTCGTGGCAATTCTATACCACCAAATCTCATGAAACTCAGGATACTGGGTTAAGACTCTGGCAATTTTAAGACAATAACATGCTGAACAGAGTGGAGCCAAAGAAATCCAAGGATTTTAAAGGTTGAGTTCCAGATATGATAAAGTGTAACCCCTCTTGCATTTCAAGCCAATCACAATTTCAGTCCCCGGGACAGGGGAAATAGGTTTGGGGATGGGAAGGACATTGGTGATGAATAAGGGGAAAGTTCCTGGGCTGGGGTTTAGGGCCGCTCTATGTAGCTTTAACTAGACCAGCTCCCAATTGATTTATTTTATGTATTCAGAGTTCCAGCATATGGTTTCATTTGATATTAGTGTTTCAAACTTTAAAGAAATCAAAACCATTTCCCTATGTGGAAAAAAAATAAAATGTAGAACCTCTACAAAGTGTTCTAATAGATCACCCTTAACCTCTGTCCTTTGGAAAATAAAGACAGATGTTAGCAAGGATAGTTTGGCTGGGTGATTGGGAGGGGCATCCCCTACTGTGAAACTGTTAATAAAAGTGGCAAGAGCAAATAATAATAATAATAATAATAATAATAATAATAAAAAATAGCAATTACATATTAAGCATCAACCTGATCTGGGCCCTGGGCTAAATGTTTACATAGATTATGCCATTTGATTCATTGCAGTCCTACGAAATTGGTACTATTATCTCATTTTGCAGATGTTGACACTCTTGCATCTAAAGAAGTTGTGTACATGGCCTCCGTATATAGGAATAAGCCAAAAAAGGTGCTTTAAAATCATATTTTGCAATTACAGTTAAGTAGTTGCTCAAGGCTTATTGCAGCTGAAATACGCACCAGACAATCTATTCCCTTTGAGCTCAGAACAATTCTGAGGTCAGAAGGACAAATCACATACTGCTCCCTGAACTCAGGAATGTCCGATAGCTTATTCCCAGTGTTTCTTAATAATTTAAGTAAAAGAACTGTTTTCTTCACAGAAAGGGAAAGTCTTATTAAAATTGTACATTTACTTGGGAATATTTTTATCAATGTGTTCATTCAACAAATATTTATTGGGCATCAACTCTGTGCTCTAAACCCAGAATCTGAAAATACAAAATTGAGAGAATGGTTTGTTTGATATAAACCTGCACCCTGAGAAATTTCTAGAATTTCCAAATCTTCATTTGGGTAGCACCTACCAAGTGTATTGCAGTAGATGTTTTAGCCTAGTTCCAACACATATTTTAAACTCAAGCAGAATACCAAAGGCAGTATGGTTGTTCATTACAGATATTATAGAATTAAAGAACTTCAGAAATAGAATAGGCCATTTCCTGTACTTTACATGTAAGAGAGTCAGATGAACATAGTTTATAAACTGTAACCTTAGGCAGATTATTTAACCTCTTTAAACCTTAGGTTCCTCATCTGTAGCATGAGGATAATAGGCCTTCTATATATGTAAATATGGTAAAAATTACAAAAAATAAATTATATAAAGTTCTTAGCACAGTGTCTGACACAATGTGTTCAATACTTGTTTACTTTTGTCACTATCTCCGTGTGAGAGGACTAAAACTCAGTGAGGGGGGATGACTAGCTTGTTGACAGTAGGCCACATATTAGAACTTAGATCTTTAGTTATAGTCAAATATTCCATAAACTATACTACCCATTTTATTTTCTGGGAGAGGGTAATATAAACTTCAGAAGCCTACGAAAAATATTTTGGCTCATATAGTAAGAAGAATTGCAAAGAAATACCTGACATAAGAAAAGAATTTCTGAACTCAGAATGCAAAATGGAGGTAAAGAATAAAGAAGAAACAGTTGCCAAAAAGTGAGATCACAGTGATGGAGCATTACAATACCTAGGAATCACAGGACTGATTTCTATACTAATTCCTTTATTTACCACAAATGAAATTGGCTGGGGTTTTTTTCTTTTTGGAGGGACAAGTGGGTGGGAGGTGATTTGGGATGCAGGTGCAATTCACGAAAAATTACATGAATTCAGCTTTACTATATAATTTCTATGTGCAAAAGGGAATGCTGTAATTGAGGTTAGAATGAAAGCATAAATATTACCAAGGCTAAAGGAATGATAGATTTGAAAAGGATATTTGGCTAGAGTGCCATCTCATAGAAGTTGTTGAGAAATTCAGCCAAAAGAAAAACAATGGCTTCATAGTAAAGCCACATTATTGTTTCTTTGTGTAGCTACAGTACTCAGACAGCACTGAGAGTGATTGATTTATTAGAAAATATTCTCAATAATTGAAATATATATAAAGAGCCTCTCTTTCCCAATACAAAAAGTGAAGGTTAATTTACACTTGCCCAAGCAAAAGATGATATACTTTTTTCCTAAAATTTCAGTTTAATCAGAGGCCTGTGATGTTGGTTGTTGCGAATCCAAGAAATATTTGGACTATTGCAGGAGTTTCCTAAGAAGAACAAGGCCAGTTTACTCAATTCATTATTCACAGTGCACGGTCCAGGAACTGGTGCCAGAAAGTCTGACTGGAGTTTCTAGCCCACCACAAGGGACACAGTGTAGTTGTTTCAGGTGCAACTACTGTGTAAAGAGATTGTTACAGCATTGTGTATTTAAAAATATGCTAAGAAGGTAGATCTCATATTAAGTGTTCTCACCACAATAGTATTAAAAGTTTCTCCTATTTTACTTCATCCTTTAGTCTTGACTTGCTAATTTCCCTCTGTTGAAAATAATTACATATTATGACAAATGAAATATATTGATAACACTTTGATTGCTTATTTATTTGATAATTTTCATTTTCACAGGGCATCAGGTACTGTTTATACAGCACTAGATATTGCAACAGGACAAGAGGTAAATGCTAACATTCAATCCTGATTATTATCCCTATATCAGGTTTTCTCACTAATGACATCTGTGCCTGAAAAAAGCAGGTAGCACTGGGTTGAAATGAGAATTTGCTTCGTTGGTGTCTGCAACATCTGAAGTGGGTAGTTTGCTTATGATTGACCAAAAAAAAGGGGGCATGGGTTTGTAGTACAGAGAAAGAGCTCAGTAAAGAATTTGTTTCCCTCACTCTGTGTCCCCAAAATATTGATATTTGTGTTTATTATAACAAATCTAATTAATTCTCATATTTTAATTGTTGGATTCAGGTGGCCATAAAGCAGATGAACCTTCAACAGCAACCCAAAAAGGAATTAATTATTAATGAAATTCTGGTCATGAGGGAAAATAAGAACCCCAATATTGTTAATTATTTGGATAGGTAAGTGTTTTCTTTCATTATCTACCTGTTTTGTTTTGGGATGCCATTTTCGTGCGAAATGGAATTATTCATTTAACAGTAATTCTACAAATTCATCTTAAATGCTACAAAGTAGTAGAATGTGAGATCTATTGCTAAATTTTTCCCCACTTATCTTTGTTTACCCATCAAAACACTTGAGAAAATGTTCTATGGACTTGGTTCTAAATATAAATAATTGGTATAATTTCTTTTTGAGAATTGTGGTTCCATGTTGGCAGAAAATAGACTGTTGTATACAGGGGAAAGTGGTGGCATTATAAACATTTCAGCAAGTATTTGTTTGAAGCACATATGATCTCTGGGAGGCTAAGTGAAGAAGGCTGAATACACTGGCCCTGCTTTAATGGGGCTTTGGGATTAACTGACAGTGAGGTCTGGGGAACTAAGTCTTTAATCTTAAGCTTTTTTGCTAAACCAGGTAATTAATGTCTCTTTCATCATAAGTATTAACAGCGTGCTATAAATAGCCATTTAAAAGCAGTGCTAACACTTTACTTGTGGCCAACATCTGTCTCATTCAGTTTCAGTAAGTGTTTGTTTAACACCACTATGCTGTGTTCTCTGAGGGATACAAAAACAAGGCTAGGCCTTCAACCTCCATGATCTTAAGATCTTATTATCTGTGTTTTAGGCCAGGTAGACAGAGAGAGGAAAAATGGGGAGGAAAAAGAAGGGTCGAATTTTAGAGTCTTGATCAGTGTTTCATAAAGTGTCCCTTAGGGCTCCCCATAGCACAGTGGTGGAGTTACTCTGCATTTATAGTTTTGTAAAAATTGCATTTTCACTTGTAAAAAATGCCAATTTCTAGACTGTTTTCTATAACTAATGAAATGGAACCTATGAATTTTCATATTTAACAAGCTTCCAGATTAATCTTGTGGGCACTGTAGTCTGAGTACCACTGAGTAGAAAGTCTTGTTTCATAGCGATGTGGGTCCTAGGGCAGAGTGGACCCATTGGGGTGATTCAGTGCCTTATAATTCCTCTCTCTTGCTGAGTGGGAGGCCAAAGAAACCTGATAATACTGCTAAAGTGCCTTCAGATGGCTCCAGGTGATTTGAATAACTTCATGCCCTTTGCCTATATTATAGGGCTCTGGTGACTTTTGTCCCCTATATTTGATCACTTGAGACATGATCCTCAATAATTTCTCAAAATAATGGACATGGCCTCAGTCCCAATAGACTTCTGTCAGAACTGAGACCTAGGAAAATTAAAAGTCTCCATTTCCTTAGTCACAAGTCAAAGACTTTTTCTTCTCTTCTTATAGCTACTTAGTGGGTGATGAACTGTGGGTAGTCATGGAATACTTGGCCGGTGGCTCTTTGACTGATGTGGTCACAGAGACCTGTATGGATGAAGGACAGATAGCAGCTGTCTGCAGAGAGGTAAGAAAATGGAGCATTTCTTGCTGACAAAGGTACCAAAGTTGGCAGTTCTTTATTTCTGCTTATTCAAAATGTTTATAATATTAAAGTAACAATAGCACAATTTTTGTACTGAAATAACAATTTAAGTCCTAACCTAATAGCATTTCCTTACACTACCTTCATCAGGGCCTATTTATTTTAGTTGCTTTTCTATGGATCTTTTGACTTCCAATAAATCAAACTTACAGTCATTCAGGGAGAAAGTCTACCCTGAGCCTGTGGTTTCCATCTTCTGCTATTACAATACAAAACATTTCCAAATGAGTACCTATAGTTACTTCATAGTCTAGGAGCCATTCTTAAACCTGGCCGTCCATCAGAAATAGCTTAGGGTACTTGTTTTAAGTTCAAATTCCTGAGTTTCACTCCAGGCCTAGTAAATCAAATCATTCAATGTACAGAGAGGATTACTATACCTTTATAAGACTAAACTGGATCTATATCCTCCAGCTAACTATGCTAACATACAGTTAATTGATTGATTAATTCAGCTGTAGTGATGATTAGTGCTGCTTATCACATCCTCATTCTCTATGACCTATAAGAGCCATCAACTGCATAATATGAAGAGGCATTATTGCTGTAAATGGTAATGTGGTTTTAAAGTGATGTTAAAGTACTTTAAGTAATCTATTTCAATGACAATGTAAAATTATACCCATGCTCAAAATTTGTCTAGAAATGAAACTTAGATTTTTAAAAAATTGTGATATAATTAGAATTGTTTTTCTAATTCAATAGTGCCTCCAAGCTCTGGATTTCTTGCACTCAAACCAAGTGATCCATAGAGACATCAAAAGTGACAATATTCTCCTTGGGATGGATGGCTCTGTTAAATTGAGTAGGTATTTTGATCCAGATGGTGTTTGAGAAAATATCAGGGAATTTCTACTCTTTACCTGTCTATCTTAAGAAGCTAATGGTACAGAAAGTAATTTATTTGAAAGCAGTTAGACCCCAATTTGAATTAAAGAATTTGTTTAACATTATGTTCTTGTAGACTATGACCAGATTTTTAGGATATACTATTTCAGCATATTTAGTGGCTTCTAAAATGAATGGATGACAAATGCCTAACTGGAAAACTGGAAGAACCTGTAAGTTTCAGTAAATAGAGAGAGAACTGTGATGAAATCTAGTAAAATGACATATCATCAATCAGATCAGTTAGTTCAGACTTCTTTAAAATCAGGGCCAGCTGAAAGATTAGATAACAAAACAATGTGAGTTAGACAGTTGTATAAGCTCAGTGTCTAACAAAGGAAGGTTCAGGTATACAAAAAAGTGATCTGTTGTTGAATGAAAATAATTTGGGCTTACTTTAATTGATTTTTCTTCCCTATAGCTGATTTTGGGTTCTGTGCCCAGATCACTCCAGAGCAAAGTAAGCGAAGCACTATGGTGGGCACCCCCTATTGGATGGCACCTGAGGTGGTGACTCGAAAAGCTTATGGTCCGAAAGTTGATATCTGGTCTCTGGGAATTATGGCAATTGAAATGGTGGAAGGTGAACCCCCTTACCTTAATGAAAATCCACTCAGGGTAAGTCAGAAGAGAATTCAGGTACTTCATCCCCAGGAAAGGGGAAAGACCAAATATCTTGCTTCCACCAAAAGTGACCAGAATGGGCTCTTTCCTGGGACAAGTAACACAGAAGCAAGCACCAAGTTATTATTTTAAAATACTGTGAGCTTTTAGAAGTTTTTCTTGCAATATCTCAACCATTTTCTAAAGTGCCTTGATAATATTTTTAATGTAAAGGGTATTTACTATTCTTTAGTATAGCACTGTACTACATAAAACTAGAGAGGTGGAAGGAAGCAAAGATGTATGAGGAAGAGGGTATTTTTATCACATGACATGGTTAAATGATCTATCTAGGAAACACTTACTTTGTAATTACTTTAACACAGTAAATAAATACGTTTCCAGAACAGCTGTAATTTCTTAAATTGGATTTTCCTTCATTACCAGTAATGATTTATTGAGCAACAACAGCTTGGTGGGTATTGAATGAAACACAGAGATAGACATAGTGCCAGCCTGGTGAAATCACAAATTTAATCAGAAGACTGTCAAGTAGAAAATGAATGGAAATAGTTTGTTTTGGATAACTCATTTTGCTACTGCCATATCAAAGGTTTGATCCCCATGTGGTCCAGTTACCTCTGCAAAGGTAAAAAGCTGCATTTCATAGCCCAACCCCATCTTCTTTAGTGAGAAATATTCCATTGATCATGAGGGAAAAAGGCAAATTGATATTAAAGAAATTCTTGCTCAGGGAAGAAGTATGCGAGAAGGCATTTTGTTGTATATAGCCTAATGGTGAGCCAGAACCTGTGTTTTGTGTATATAATGGGCATCACATTGTTGAGGAATGAAATATGCACTATTCAAATTCTGCTGTCAAAACTCATGCATAGGGTCAAAGGCATTCTGTACATTATCTGCATCATTACCACCAAGAGTCTGCAATTGAATTTTATCTTTGCTATACAAAAACTCTTGTCCTTAGTAAACAATTAAGTGGATTCAAATTAAGCTTTTAAAAATCCATATTCAAGCCAAATAAATATGTGTGGCTTTTTATATATGCAAACAAACCTGCAAACTAATTGTCTAGTTGTTTTTGCAGTTGAACATTTTGTAATTGGAGCTGCATTCCCTATGTAGGAAAAGAGGGACAGCCTCGTTCTGGTTCCCTTCTAATTCCTCTCTGATACTTGACCTCTTGTCCTAGTCTCTGCACTGATTAGAAAACAGCAGATATGAGCAAATGCCCTAATGAATGCTATGGGCTATTGCTCTGGTCTCATGAAAAGATCTGAAAGTGAGATGTACACATTGATTAGCCGCCTGCAGGGCTGAGTGGAAAAGAAGAGGCATTTTCCCACTATTTGTGGCTCGGCTGTCTATAAATTTAATCAAGTCCACCCCTGACCTATAGGCCAGTGCATCAGGATAATTACATGGGCTTTTTCTTATTATTTAACTACCTTTGTTCATTAGGAAATTACACATGAAAGAACACATCAGGCCTGTTGTTTCCATGGATTTCCTCCTCTAAATCTTCTGAGATTAGAGGCACTAAATGGATTATAGCCATTTTGTTTTCAGCCTTCTAATGTATAATTTACAACCTGCAGAATTTAAAGATTAAATAAATGGCTCTGTAAAGCAACTTGTCTCACTAATGCATTTATTACCTTCTTCAGTCCCCCAATTATAATTAATCACTTTTTAGTTAGGCTGCTAATTGTTAGAAAAAATTTAAAAAGTTTTAATCTTATAGGAATCTTCTACTCTGAGATTAGAACTCATAATTAACAGCTTGTCTCTTAGAATCCACAACCTTATGTTTAAACAAATATTTGCAGATTAACAAACCACAAGGTTCAGGAAGCCTATATTAAAATACTGACAAAAAGACCTGTCAAAAGACCAGCCTGTTGAGTTCCTCTGATAAGGACTTACTCTAACTTTGCTTATTACTCTCCTTGTGTGATCAGTCTCCAGTTAATTAATCAGCAAGTCCACGATGAGCTAGGTCTGTTCTGAATCTATCTCTCCTAGACATTAGGAGTACTTTATATGTTTTGACTTCAAATATGCTGTCCCCATGTTCTCTTAAATAAACACAATATAAGATAGATGCCTTTATTTGGGATTTGAAAATGTGGTCATTGAAAATATTGGGAGATTAGAAAGAAAAAGATAAAACATGAGCCTGTAAGGAGCCTACATTGTCTTGGATTCTGGTGACCAGTCCATGTGTGGTGGTGAAACAAAAAAATCATCAAGAGTTTTACAACTCTCATGAGTGCTAGATAAGTCCTTTTTTCTTTAAAATCCTTCCATTTCTACCACTGTCCACTACTATTAGACTTTGAGGTGGAACTAAGTGGTAGGAAAGAAGTGGAATAAATGGAAGAGGATAAATAAATGGTATAGTTGAGGGTGGCATAAACTCATGGAAAAAAAGTGGTTCAATAGCAAAATCTGAGTGTGTCTTAATTCTCTAATCTACAATCTCTGTGACTTTCAAGTCACCCAAATCCTTTGTAAGCTTGTCTTCTTTCTGTAAAATAGAGACAACATCTATCTTGGTAAGTTGGTGTGAAAACTAAATGAATAAGGCTTATAAATTATCTACCACAGTATCTAGCTCATTATAGAAAAAAGTATATATATGGGCATTCATGTCTGACTAGAAAAGTAAGAAAGGAAAAACTGGAAGGATGTTTATGGAGTGCTGTTTAACCACCCACGAATGGATATTTAATTCACCACTCTCCCAAGAACCCCACCACTCTCAATCCACACTGGCTTGTACCCCCAAGCCCTTCAAAGAGTGGAAGGTTCTGTACAAGTTCAGCATAATGACCATAAACAGGTAACACTGAACAGGACAGGTTCAAGGTAAAGTCTCATGCTATCCATTTCAAAGTTGTTTGTATTTCACTCTTGCATTTTTGTGCTTTGTTCTTTGAATTTCAACCGAACAAACCCTTTGTGAATATTGGCCCTTAACATATATGTGATGCAAGGAGGCTGTTTACCTCTAATTATAAAGTGGTTGAGACTTTTAAAATGCAAATTGTTCTGTACTAATTGACCTAATTTGCTCATAAAATGCCTTTTAAAGGTCAGAGAGTTATTAACTATACTGATGTTATGAGTTATGAGGTTGGTACCCTTTCAGAGACAGAGAGGAGACAAGCTTCTTACTGTCCCCCACTGCCTGAAGTCTTTACACTCAACATAACTGGCCGTGAACATGTTGTTCTGGGACCCAGGGCCATTTTTAATGCAGCCTCCAGTAATAAAGTGCCTTGTTTCTTCAGTTTGTCAAAGGAACTGGGGTTAAAAATTGAACTTTCCTTGTGGATATGCAAATTAAATATTGATATTCTGCTGATCTCAACTTTTTTGTTAATTGAAGATATATTTTTAAAGATCTGTGATCATAATGATCTAAAAGGAGACAAAATCATTTCTGTATAACTTCTATTTGTTTTGTGTCTCAGCATAAAGAGAGTGCCTTTGTATTAGCTTTGTATTCACACATAATAGTGTTGTTCCTATCAATGAGGTTTGATAGAATTTGGTATTTATGAAATGTCTGTGATGTCCACTTAAAGTTTATACTAGACCCTTTGGAACCTTTTTTTTATGTGTACTTTTCCAAACTCTTGTCCAAGGTGAAATGAACTTTGAAGTATTCTCTTTTTTTTTTTTTTTTTGGTACCCGGGATCGAACTCGGGTCCTTGTGCTTGCGCAGCAGGTGGCGAAACCACTGAGCTAAATCCCCGGCCCTGAAGTATTCTCTTTATACCTTGTTTTAAGTGTCTTTGAGGCTATATCAAGCATTGGATCACTGGAAGACAGTCATTGGTATCAATGCTGAAAACACTGTGTATGTGAACTACAGATCCTGTATCAATGGTTCTCCTATCTGGCTATACATTGCAATCATCTTTAAATCCTTAAGTACCAATAATGCCAGATGTCCTTTCCCATGGAAAAATAGTGAACAGGACTAGATCAAACCGAAATCTATGTAACATGACTTCGATAAGACATTATCCACACTGAGAAACAATTCTTCATCAGCCCTCCTTGAGCACAGTTGTCTACCCAGAAAATAACACACTATCATTTTACTCACATATCTCCATTTTATCTAAAAAGTTATTAGTAACACCATCAAAGTCAAGTTGAAACCATACTTGCTCTGTGTTATTCTCAGATTTAGCAGTCCAGTTACACAAAAGAAATGACATTAGTTAAGCAAATAATATCCTCATGGTATGCCCTTTTTAAAAAATTTTGCTTCTGAAAATAGAGTTTACCATTAAAATCTGCTATCTTGGGTGCATGCCTATAATCCCAGCACTCTGGGAGGCTGAGGCAAGAGAATCACAAATTCAAGCCCAGACTGAACTTAGTGACTTAGGCAAGGCCCTGTCTCAAAACTGTTTTATTAAAAGGCTAAAATATACCTTAGAGCAGAGGCCCTGTGTTCAATTCCAACACCCAGTATCACACACACATACACACACTCACTCACAAGTGTTAGTTGCTGATTGAGTTCCTAGCAAATATCGGTGCATAATACAGCCATTGGTCTGGCCAGTCATAATTAAGAGTATAATATTTGTATATCCAGGGAGAAGGAAAGACAGAAACCTAAATTCAGACCTGTTGTCTGCTCTAAGTCTTCCTACCCTTCCCTAACTCCACACTTAAGCACACATTTTTATAGAACCAGGAACATTCTAATTCGCTTACATTTTTTAGGTTAGAGAGTTAAGTAGAATAAGAGAATATGTAGCTACTGAAAAACAGCAAATAAAGGCCAAACTGCATTTAGTTTCCTCCAACCACTGGAACCTGTGCTGTGGATTGGAATGTCTGGATTTGATGGTGCATGCTCATTTGGAATTGAAGTCAGACATAAACTTCCTGTGCACCAAAGAGGCAAGCATACCTCGCTAGTGCTCAGTCAATATTGTTTTGAATTTATTTCAGGAAGAGTTGG